CAAAAGCCCTCTCAAAAGCCCGTGTGATGGGAGTCCCTCCCTGCCTAGCATTTATCCTTGTGCTGAAAACCCAAACTCACCCAGGACACTTGGGGAGCGAAAATGTTACAATGCCAAGTGTTGTACCCACCTGGAAGGCAATCTGGCACCCAGCAAGTCCCCTCCTGGGTCCCCACCCCCAGAGCCGAGCTGCTCCCAACCTCCACAAAGGCATGGACAAGGGTGTTCAGAGTTGCTGTCCTTCCTCCCCACTTCCCCCAACCGGAAGCTACCCACTGCCCATCGACAGCAGAATGGCTAAGCTGTGACATCATCATGCCTGGGAAACACAATGCAGCCACGAAAAGGTGCGAAAAAAGTACGAGTCACCACTCGACTCAACACCCCGCATCTTGCGCAAGGCACACTGAACAAAAGCCAGGGACAAAAGCGTAAATACAGAGTGATTCCATTTATATAAGGAACAAAATCAAGCCCAAGTGACCTACAGTGTCAGGTGTCATGGGGTCACCCTTGGGAGAGGGTGGGGGAGGGGCAGAGGGGGCTCAAGTTCCATTTCTTAACTTGGGGGCTGATGACATGAGTGTGTTCACTCTGTAATCATCAAATTGTTCACTTACAATCTGTGCCCTCTTTTGTGTGTTACATTTCACAATTTAAAAAAAAATCATAAAAAATAGATTTGGGGGGCCTCCATGGCAGCTGGTCCTACTACCCACCCCTCCAATGACTCCAGCAGGCTGCAGCCAGACTGCACCATCTTGCTGTTCCTTGCCTAGAGGCCTTTGCACGTGCTGTTCTCTCTGTCTGGAACAGTGTTCTCCCTCTTTTTTCCCCCCTTCCCAGGGTAGTAATCCTCCAAGACTTCCAGATGTCAGTTTTCTCAAGTCCTCCCCCGACCCTACCCCAAAGCAGGGGTCTGTGGCCCCTCCACCCAGGTCCCGCACAAGCAACATATTAATATGTCACATGATGGTTGCAAGGAATAATCCAGGCGGCCCAGCAATCATGGCCAGGGGAGGTAGGGTTGTCAGCCCCTTGGCAAGATGAGAAGACTGAGGCCCAGACAGGCATGATGGGGGCCTCCAGCCTCGATTTAAATCCTGGCTCTCGCTCTCACAGCTGGATAGTCTAGACAAGTGGCTTCACCCCTTCGGATCTTGGATTCCCTATCTGTAAAATGGGTAGGATCTCAGAACAAGCCCTTATTATGAAGATCATATTATTTAATCCGTGGAAATGCTTCTAGCAGAGACTCGCACGTTCATTCATTTATTGGGACCTACTCGGAGCCCCAGGGACACAGAAGACATAAATTCCTGCCCTCTGGCTGGAATAGACAGATAACCAGGAAAATCCAGAATGTGTTGATAGAGAGCAAGGGATGGGGAGTGTTGGCTGCCTTTTTTTTTTTTTTTTAATTTGCTCATAGAAGCAACTCAATAAATGTTAGCAAATTTATTGAGGGCAGACCTGAGTTTGTACCCGTCTCAGACCCTAACTAGTGATTTGAGGCAAGTGAAGTCACTTGTCTGACCTCAGTTTCTGGGAAATTGTTCCCGAGAATTAGCAGGAAGCCTGCAAGGGCTCACAAGCTGTCAGCTGATGTTATTATTACTGATGTTGCTGGCAGATGAAGGGCGCCGTGGGGGGGGGGGTTCACAAACCCGGCACCCCCAAACCAGGGGTCTTCTCCGGAGAAGGGGCGCCCTGCCCAGCCACGGAAGGCCTGTGACCTCGGGGGTCTTCCTCCGGGCCTCGGAGCCCCTCCCCCCAATCCCGCCTGCGGGGCTGGGTCCCCCGAGGGTTTGCGGAGGGTCCAGGAGCCCCCGGTGGGGCAGGATGACGGGAAGGTCTCGGGGGTGCGCGATCGCGGCCGCGGAGCCGGTGGGCAGAAGGGCCGCTTCCCGAGCCCCCTCCCCGCCGCGGCCTCCCGCGCTTAACGACCGCGCCGCCGGCGACCTCGGCTAATTGATCCGCTAATGGGCCCCGCGCCGCGGCCGCGCCTAATGAGGCGGGAGGAGGGGGCGGAGGGGGCGGAGGGGGCGGAGGGGAGAGTGCAGGGGGCTGAAGAGAGGAGGGAGGAGAAGAGGAGGGGGCGGTGAGAGAGAATGCAGGGGGAGTGGGGAGAGGAGGGAGGGGGCTAGGAGGGGGGAGAGGGAGGAGGAAGACGAGAGAGGGGGTGAAGGGGTAGGGAGGAGGAGAGAATGGAGGGGTGGAGGAGGTTGGGCAGAAGCGGGGGGGAGAGGAGGAGGAGGAGAAAATGGAGGGAAGGGAGGGGAGGAGGTTAGGGGGAGAAGGAAGAGGAGGGGGGAAGGAGGTAAGAGGGGGACGGGAGGAGGGTGAGGATGGGGAGGAGGGAAGGTGGAGCGCGGGAGAAACACTAGGGAGGGGGAAGGGAGCTGAGAGGGAGGGGCGGAGAAACTCGAGGAGGGGGCCCAGGGAGGAGAGGGAGGAGGGCCATGCCCCTAGCTCTTTGGGCACAGGACTTGAGGAGCGGGGGAGCAGCGGGGATGGGATGAACCCACCCATTTCTGACTACCTCACCCCCCCTCAGACACCATCCCTTCAGGGGGTCCCTGCTCCTTCTCCAAAGCTCCTCCCCTTCTCCCACCACTCTCCTTTTGAGAAGAGAAGAGTCTTTTTAGCAGGGGGATCTGTATGCATCAGGGGTGTGAGCACACACACACACACACACACACACACACACACACCCCGCCCGGCCACTCTGTGCCTCCATTTCCTGTCCATACAATGGTCCTAATGTCCTCAGTGTTGGAGAATCCCACAGGCCCCAGTGGTCTGAGCCGGACCCAGCCCCTGTCCCCATACACCCCTCTGTACCTCCACTGACTCCTGGGTCTGAGAGCACCCCAGCCCCAGAGAGCTAGCCCTCTCCCTCCTCCTTCTGGTTTGAGCTGGAACTCCCCGCATGATGCATGAAATGGCCACAGTCCAGGCTGGCCAGGTACACCTGCTGCCTTCCTCCTTCCTGAGTCCTCTGGGTGTTGGCAGCTTGGACACAGTCTTGGGGGAGAAGCAGAAAGAAGCCCGGCCGATGGTGGAGTCGGGGACCTGTAAATGACGTCACTCTGCCCATTTTGCAGACCGCAAAACTGCAGCAAATTGTCAAGGCCACAAAACAAGGCAGCGCCATGCCATGGCAGGTCACCTGGCCACAGCTAAAGGAGCTCTTGGCCCCACTAGGAGCAACCAGAAATAATCAGGAAGGCCAAGCGAGTCATAAGGATAATAGAAATCATAAACAGCTACGATCTGAACTTCCGTTACGGTCCCAACCTTGGCTAAAGGTTTGGACTAGTCTCTGTTAATTCCTTCTTCTTCTTCTTCTTTTTTTTTGACATTTATTTATTTATTGTTATTCATCTCTGCACCGAACGTGGGGCTCACACCTACCAGCCCAGGGATCAAGAGTCACATGCTTTTCCGACTGAGCCAGCCAGGCGCCCCATCTCTCAGGTACTTCATGAAAAGACCTGGAAAGGAAGGACCAATTTGCAAATAAAGAAACTGAGGCTCGAGACAGGTAGTGACTTGCCCAAGAGTACACAGCCAGGAACCTGGATCCTGATGTAGGAAGGCCCAAACGACAGGGTCCAGGATCTTAGAGCCATTTTGTTGAAGAGAAAGAGAAAGCTTCTGGAGCCAGTGCTGGAGGGGAGGGCTTCGAGAGGATGGGGGTGCAGGCAGGTCAGGGTACAGCGGGGGGGGGGGGGGCGCTGGGCTGAGGAGGGTGTGAGAGGTAGGGATGCTCCTTGAGGCACTGCCCCCCTCCCTTGTGGAGGCCTTCAGCCTAACCATTCTTGGCCTCTTTTCCGTGCCTGGGGGTGACCAAGCCTGGGAGCACCTCAGGGCCTTTCCCTCTGCCTGGAAGACACTGTCCCCAGAGCCATCACCCGCTGCCATCACCACCACCAACACCCCCTCTCCTGCTTGCTTTATCGTCACAGCATCAATCACTGCACACAACTTAAGTCAACAGATATTCCCTTGTTCTCCCTTTCCCCCCCAACTCTGAGTTCCGTGACAAAAGGGATTTGGTCCGATTTGGTCATTACTGAAATCTCGGGGCTTAGCATTGCGCCTGGCACGCAGTAGGTGTTCAGTGAAGATTTAGGGAGCAAGAGAGAAAATGGCAGAGAAGCCAGCCGCCTCCTCCGGGGCCTGCCTGCCAGCCTGGGAGCCATGGCAGGTGTTTGAGCAGAGGAGGGGCACACCCAGGGACACGGAGGGCCCAGGCTGGAGGGAAGACAGAGGCAGGGGCTCCGGAGGAGGCTGTGTCCTCTACAGATGCTTTCTGACATTAGGAGCTGCAGGAAGGAACCCATGCACCCAAAACACCCTGCCCGCCAGGGACCCCCCCCCCCCCCAGGGTCCCTCCCACTACCTTTGCCCTTCGCTCTGTCTCTGCCCTTGGCTCTGGGTGTCCCAGAGTCTCTGTCTCCCGTCTCTCTCTCCCCCGCCCCGCCCCCCACCGTCCTTCGAGGTCTTTCTAGAGCTCTCTCTCCTCCCTCTCTATCTCTCCCTCCTACTCTCCCCGTGTGCCCCCCGCTCTGTGTCCCCTCCCCGCCATCCCCGCCTCGCAGCCGCCCCCGCCCTCAATGCCCCCCCCCCCCCACCTCTCCGCACAGGCCTGTTCCACCTACCCCAGCCCCTGGGCCACGTTGCTGGGCGCCGGCCAGGCCTGCAAGCCCGCCCCTGCCCCCCGCCCTTGACCCTCCGTCCCCCCACCCCTTCTCCCCCGCCCCTCCGCCCCTTCCTTCTCCTCCCCCTTCACCCGTCCCCTCCCGCCCACCCTCCGCCTCCTCCCCCGCCTCCCCCTGTCCCCAGTGTTGCCTCCTCCCCGCACCCCACTCTCTCCTCCTCCCCTCCCCTCCCCTCCCCTCCCCTCCCCTCCCCGCCTCCTGATCCCGGCCCCAGGGAGGGGCGGGGCCCGCGCTCCCTGTGCCCTGCTGGGCCTGACCGGGCCTGTTGGGTAACGCGCTGACCCGGCCCGCGTGGTTAATGGTGGGTTTCCCGGCCTCGGCGGCGGGCAGCCGGGCACTAGGTCTGGCCGACCTGGGCGGCGGGGAGGGGGGTGGCCCTGGGGCCCCTGAACAGCACGGCTGTGAGCCTTATCCCAAGCGCTGGTGCTGTGTGACCTTGGGCAGGTTCCTGGGCGTCTCTAGGCTGGGCTGCCTCCGCTCCACCGGCTCCCAAGCCAGACCGACTGGGCACGGGCATTTACTGGATGCCCGCTGTGTACGGGGCTCTGTGGTGGGTGCCCAGGGACCCAAGATGGAGCTCCTCTTGACCCTCATGGAGCCCACAGTGTCTAGGGAAGACAGATAACAAATAAACCAGCAAATAAGATAATTCAGACAACAGTCAAATGCTACAAAGAAAAATCCAACAGGGGCAGGAGACAGAGAATGACAGGAGGCCTCTCTCCGTGGAGGTGACATCTGAGCTGAGACCTGGATGACAGGAGCCTGCTGGGAAGACAGGTAGGGGGAGGAAGGGTGGGAGACTTCAGGCAGAGAGAAGGGTGAGGGCAAGAGCCCAGAAGCAGCTGCCAGGCTTGCATCCCCTACTTTGTAGGCCTGTTGTGAGCATCAGACACCAGGTCAAGGGAATAATCCAGGCGGCCCAGCAATCATGGCTGCGGGAGGTAGGGTTGTCAGCCCCTTGACAAGATGAGAAGACTGAGGCCCAGACAGGAATGAAAGGTCTCACAGCAAACCAGAGGCCGGAAAAAGAAGATCCAAAATGCCCACTCAGTCTGTTCCACACACATCTGTGCGATGCCTACTGGGGACTGGGGCGAATCTGGGGTCCAGGGAGGAACCCCCCAAGAGCAGGGATGGAGGCAGCGCTCACCAGGAGGTGGGGTTCACCAGGATGCTGGCAAGGTGCGAGGTGGGGGCCGTGGAGAGGGTGAGGCCGGGACTTGGGATGGAGTGGGTGTGGGGGGGGTGGGGTCTGGGATAGGGGGAATGACCTGGAGCTCCCAAAATACAGGTTGCCTTTTTGTACTGGCTCCCGCCCGTTTCCCCTTGCGCACGCGCACACGGTTATAACAGGCAAGGCCAGTTCACCTGTCCAGCCGTTTGATCCTATGACCACAGGATGAAGTTTCTATCATTCCCCTTGTTTACAGAATCACGGTGTGACACAGCCGCCAGGTCGGATTTGAACCCAGGCCTCCAAGGAAAGTGTGACGTCAGGTGGCCATGGATCCCTGCAAGCTAGGTTATAAATGGAGCCCCTCCCTAGGCTTGCCTCTTTATCCTCCCAACCAATATATGGAGCAGGCACTGAAATAATCAGTAAGTGTTCAGAGAGGGATGAGGCTTTACTGAAGGAAATAAAATGAGGGGGGCTGACCAAGTAGGAAGGTTGAGGGCTGCTGTAAGGCTAGCCAGACCAGGCCTCACTAGGATGTGATGTTCGGGCCAAGACTGGAAGAGGGAGAAGAGTCGGCCATGGGCCAGGCAAAGGAAATAGCCCATACTAAAGTCCTGGGGCAGGACCTTGCCTGGTCTCTTAGCGGAACAATCAAGAGGCGTGAGAGGCTGGAGGGAAGTGGGCGAGGGGGAAAGAGGGAGGAGATGAGGACAGGGAGGGGACGGTAGTAGACAGAGGGAGAAGTTTGGATTTTATTCTGAGGGTGATGGGGGGCTCTGGAAGATTCTTGAGCAGAGGAAGGATGGGATCTGATCATCTATATATATATATATGTATAGTTTATTTTAAAGTAAATCTCTATGCCCAACATGGGGCCTGAACTCAGGACCCCGAGATTAAGAAGAGTCACACGCTCTACTGACTGAGCCATTTCAATGAGTGATCAAAGATGGGGGAGGAAGGGAGAGTGCATGCAGAGTCCCCCTGTGAAGTGTGAAGCCAGGGTGGGAGAGAGGGCCTTTGGGCCATCAGTGGCTACACCCCCCCCAGAGCATTTTCTAGGAGTTATTTTAAATACTTGATCAGCCTTCATTTATTGGAAGATTCTGTCATCGACCCCAGCTTCCAGATGAGGAAACCTGCGGGGCCATCGTGGACTCACTGTGGCCCCTTCTTTTCTCTCCTGACTCTCCCTCCCCCCACTTCACAGCCTGGGCATGGTCAGAGGTCCACCCAGCAAGGTGAGGAGTCAGAGCCCAGGACTCCTCAATCCCAGGGGAAGATTTAACATTGCCCCAGCTTTGCTCTGAGTCTCCTTTGGGTTAGGGTGGTATAAATGCACTGCTCAGATGAGGCAACTCCTATGCATTCTGCACAACCCCAGCGTCAACACCCCCATTTGACATCTAGGAAGCCTTCCCAACTTTCCAAGCAGCGGCCTCACTCCTGCTCTGTCTCTGCCACCCTGCGGACAGTCCTGGTCCCTCCTGCCCTGACTACAGGGGGCTGAGAGGGTTCTGCTTGGTCTCCCCTGCTTTTCCAAACTTGGGAACCCCTCCTTGAATCCCCAGCATGGCCTAGCCTGGCTGCTCACAGACGGGACAGCCGAGAGCATTGGTTTCGCGAACAAGTCTTGTCCAACCATCTCACTACACAGGTGAGTAAACTGAGGCCCAGAGAGAAGCCCGCAAGAGTCTTAAGGTCACGGTGGGGGGCGCTAGAACCCCGGGGAGGGCTCCCCATGTTCCCAGGTGGAAGAAAACGTGTGTGACTCTTCTGACGGGGGCTCGCCGCCAACCTTGGCAGGAACAGAGGCTCAGAGGTCACCCGAGAGCCCTGGCCGGCAGGAGGGGACAGGCCTGGCTGGTGGCCCAGCAGCTCGGCTGGGGGCGGGGGGGCAGTAGGCAGAGGTTGGCGAAGTCGGAAGCCAAAGGCTTGGCCTCCCCGAGGGAGCCGCTTTCCCGGCCCGGGTCGGATCAATGGGCTGTAATTATACCGCGCCGGGCCCGGAGCCGGCGGGGAGGGAGCGGGAGCGGGCGGGAGAGAGGCGGCGGGCGGGGGAGCGCTGGCCCGGAGAGGGACCCACGTTACTTTGATTGACAGCCGTGCCGGGCGCCGCGCGAGAGCTTCTGGGGATCGTAGTCTTTCCGAGAAGCCCGCTCCCCCTCCTCTCGCGTTTGCGTTCGGAGAAACTGAGGCACGGGAAAGAGCACCTCCCTCCCCTCCGCCTACACGTCGTTTTATCCCTCCCCCATCTGACCTGGGGGACAAAAACTGACGCGTGCTAGGGGCCTCCAGGCCCGGGTGAGAGTCTCAGCTCTTCCCGGGGATTCCCGGGGGTGGGAGGCGTCCAGCGTGATTTAAAGTCTACCTCGGTTTACCTATCTGTGAAATAGGGCGAAAGGCGGCTAGTCGGCCCGCCAGCTGGCCGAGCTTTTGCAAGGTAGTATGTGGGGCAAGGGACTCCTGCTTTTAAGGAGAGGCCCGCCAGGCTCAGGGGGTGGCTCGCTACTCCGGGTTTCCAGATACTAATCGAACTGGATCCCCCCCCCCCCACGCACCCCCTCAACAGGACTGAGTTCTGGCGGCCACGAGGCTCTCAGCGTCTCTCGGGGAGGGGGAGCCCCACTCTCCATACCCCAATGGCAGCCTTCTGATTGGCCTAGCCCATCCTAGTGCCTCCTGCCATTGGTTGCGGGTTTCTGGATCTCCATTGGCCAGCGCCCCTGTGATGTCACGGACCCATGTGGGAGCGCCGCGGGAGGATTGGCTGGCGCACCCAGCCAACCACCGCGGAGAAAGGAATTTCCACAGTAGCTGAGGCGGCGAGGCTGATTTAAGGTGGTCTGAGCAATCTGGGGTCCCAGCGCTGCTTCTCAGCTTTTTCCTTTAAAAAAAAAAAAAAAAATCCACATCATAAAAACCCAGCCAGGAACCGGGGCTGAGCCTTTCTGTACTGGGGGAGCTGAGAGATCAGAAGCTAAGCTCCTTCCCCCATTTTGCAGCTTCTTCCCGGATTCTGCAGGTGGGGAAACTGAGGCCTAGAGACGTGGGGCGTGAAGCCCTGGCCGGCAGAGTTGGCTGGGCGAAGCCTTCTGGGGGGGGGGGGGGTAATGAGAAGGTTGTGCTAGACTGCCCAGACTGTAACTCACCCCCCCCGCCCCGCCCCCTGCTCTGGCTGCATGTGGCATTTCAGCGGGGTATGGAGTCATAGGCTGCCTGAGGGTCTCATCTCACAGCCTGCTCTCAACTGAGTCTCCCCAAACTCTCAAAGCTGCTCCCAAAGCCGGTGCTCAGAGCAAACCGTCTTCTCCTTCCTGGCATATCTTACATACACCATCGTGTGTATGTGTGTGTGTGGGGGGGGGGGTCTTGTGGCTTCTCAGGCAATCCACAAATCTGTATCCGCCCCCCCCCCCCCCGCCCCCGTGGAATATGCCTGGTGGAAACATCTAAAGCCTGTTGGGTAAAGGTCCCCTCCTCCAGGAAGCCTCCTCTGGACTCACCAGGCAGAGTCTCTGTCCCCCTCCAGGTGCTCCCTCTGTCCTGCTGACTACCTGGGCCCTGGGCCTGGGAGCGAGTGCTTAATTCTGCCCCCCACTCCCCCATCCTGGGGCTGGGCCCTATCTAGGAGCCCAGCGTCTTCCAGCATGAGGATGGCTTATAGAATAAATACCTACCTGAAGAGCCTGTGCTCACTATGTGTAGAGATACCTTTTGGAGGAGATGCCTGCAGGAGATGCTTTGGGGCTGGGCCTTGAAGAAATGGATTTTCTCCAGGCAGAAAAGGAGCAGGAGGGAATTCCAGGAAGAGGTAACCACGCAAGCAAAAGCCCAGAAGTGGGAGAGGACACGGAGTAGGTGATAACAGTGACTGGTGCGGCTGGAGCAGAGAGAGTATGGGAATGGGTGGAAGGAGGTGAAGCCAGGCCAGGCCAGGTGGTGAGGGGGTCTGATGCTAGCCTGAGGATCTGGGGGTTTGTTCCCAGGGCCACAGGGAGCCATGGGAAGGTTCTAAGTGAGGGAGGGCCAGACTCACAAAAGGTGACAAGAGTAAAAGCTGTCCGGATGGGGGAGGTAGGTGGCTTGAGCTCAGAGGGGAGAGGATGAAGAGCTGACACAGTCTGGAGGGGGGGCGCTGAGGGGATAGGGAGCAGGATTGCTTGGCAGGTGAAGGGGAGAGAAGAGGCTAGGTTGATGCTCTGTCTTGGGGGAGAAGGATGGACTGTGGGGCCTGGCAGGGTGAGGAACAGGTCTGGGAGAAGGTGCTCCATCTAGCGACCTGGGGGACATCCAGGGGAGGCATGGCACTTCCTGGAAAGGTTTTGGAATTAGGACTTCACAGACACCACCCCCCCCCCCCCAACTTGGAATTCCTGGCATTGTAGACCGGTGGAACTCGGGTTTCTTAGAAGTTCCCAGCAGGAGTGTAGCCAGTGATTTCTGGCTTCAGCTGGATCAGCTGTTTCTTCTCCTCTCCTGCACTCACTGCCTATTCATTTATTGAGCATTTACTGTATACCAGGCTCTGCAAGAGACAGGATCTGTCCCCACACAGCCTAGTGAGTGAGACATATATCGAATATAACAACCCACAGAGGAACATGATCATGTCAAAACAAAAGGGAACAAACTGGTGGGACCTAGAAGGAGAGAGAACAGGATACAGTGTTTTGAGGAAGCTAGCGAGCACTGCTTAAACTGGTGGCCAGGAGGGGGCTTTCTTAGGAGGTGACATTTGAGCTGAGACTTGAAGGAAGCGAAGCAAGGGAACAGTATTCCAGACAGAGGGAACGGTAAATGCAAAAGCCCTGAGGCAGACCCCTATCTGGGCTGTTGGGAAAACAGTTAAGAGGCCAGGGTGTCTGAAGCAGAGGGGATGAGGGTGAAGATGAAGGCAGTTGGGATCAGGGAGGGAAGGGCAGGGAGGGAGGTTTGTGCAGGGCCTTGTGGGAAGAGGGAAGCGTTTGTATTTTATTTTGATGACCACGGGGAGCCACTGAATACTCCAGTACACACACATATCTTTGTCCTCAGGATCTCTCTTTCTCTCCCTGCCCTCCCATCCTTCAGGTCTCATCTCCTAGGTAAACCTCTACAACGAGGCCTCTCCCAGACACCCCAGATAAGTAGGTTCCTCTCGTTGATCTCTGTCACTGCTCCCCAAACTCCTCCTTTGTACACACAAATAGTTGCATAATTACCAAGCTGTGATCTTGTCTTGTCCCCAGAGCGCAGAGAAGGCAGGAATCAGTTCTCCTTCACTCACCCTTACATTCCTGGAACCTGGAAGGATGCCTGGCATGTAATAGATGTTCAATAAGTATCTGTTGGCTGGGAGGTAAGTCCTTCCAGTTCAGTTCAGTAGGGTTTCGTACACTTTGCTCCCTGACCTCCTGACACAGACACAGGCATTAATAATACAAGGCAAGGGTCTCTCTCTCTATTTTGTTCTCTGCTGTGCCCCAGTGCCTAGAGCTGTATCTGGTCCACAGGAGGTGCTCAGTACATGCTTGTTGATTGACTTAACAAAGGACCTGAGGTTTTTCATAAGCGAGATTGGAATGAGAACGTCCCACCTTCCAGGTAAGTGTAAGAAATGCTCCCTGGGGGGGCGCCTGGGTGGCTCAGCCGTTAAGCGTCTGCCTTCGGCTCAGGTCATGATCTCAGGGTCCTGGGATCGAGCCCCGCATCGGGCTCCCTGCTCCGCGGAAAGCCTGCTTCTCCCTCTCCCACTCCCCTTGCTTGTGTTCCGAACCTCTCTCACTGTGTCTCTCTCTGTCAAATAAATAAAATCTTAAAAAAGAAAAGCTCCCTGGATGTCTGTGGTCTATGGTGGGAGTGGAGTCCGTGTCTTCAGAGACCTCAGTCTGAAGGCAGGGATTCAGTTGGCCATTCTCAGTGGGAACTCAGCCTTCTAGGAGCTCAGTCTGAGAGGGGAGACAGCCCAGTCTGCAAGGGGGGCATCAAGTCCGGTCTCTGGCAGTTTGCTCTGTGCCCGGCCAGGCTGAGGGCTGTCCAGGTACCATCTCATTTAAAAATAGCCCCTGCCTCTGCCATTTTACAGATGAGAATAGTGAGACCCAGAGGGGGCTAGGGCTCCGTCCCTCCCTCCTCAGGTGTCCGCACTGGGCTATTCCCCGGTCGGAGGCAGGGATCCCGGCCTCCTCCAGATCCCTAAGTCTTAGCCCACTCCCTCAGAAAGGCCATTTCTGACCCCGAACTGCCCCCTCCCCACCACGCTGCTCCCCACAGTGGGCCCCTAGGTATTTCTCGGCTGCCTTGCTTCTCTCTCTTGGGCCCTCTGGGAGGGAGGGGGCGACGTTCGGGGCGGGGGGGGGAGGACCGGGCGCGAGCCTCAGTTTCCCCACCGGTCGCCGGCCAGGGGAGCGGGGTGGGCTCCGGGGGGCGCCGGCCCGAGGCGGCGGGGGCGCAGCGGGCGGGCCGGGTGGGCGGGCCGGGGGCGGCGGCGCCACCTTAAGGCGGCTCTGCCCGCGGCTCCCGGCCGAGCCCCGCCGGAGGGAGGCGGCTCCGCGCGGGGCCCGCCGCCCGCGCCTCCGCCGACACCCGGCCGCGGCTCGCGCGACCTTCCGCGCCGGCCCCGCGCGCCCCCCGCCCGGCCCGCGCCCCCCGCGTCCCCGCCCCCCGCGCGCGCTCGGGGGGGCGCGGGCGCTCCGGGGTCCCGGCCCCGCGCCGCCGCGCCCCCTCTTCCTTTCTCCGGGTGGCGCCCACCCCAGCCCCGTCGCCGCCTCGCCACCCCCCCACCGCCCCCCCTCGGGATCGTCGGGCTCCGGCGGCGCGGGGGGCTTCCGGATCGGCAGGATGTACCCCCAGGGGAGGCACCCGGTGAGTGGGGGGCCCGGGCTGCGCGGGGTGGGGGCGCGGGCGTCCGGGAGCTCAGACCCCGCCGTCCCCCCCAGACCCCGCTTCAGTCCGGCCAGCCCTTCAAGTTCTCGATCTTGGAGATCTGCGACCGCATCAAAGAGGAATTCCAGTTTCTCCAGGCTCAGTACCACAGGTGAGGGGGGGCGGGGGCGCCCAGCCCCGGGGGACCCGGGAGCTCACCTGGGAGCTCACCTGGGAGCCCCGGGGAGAGGGGCTGGCCGCTGGGGGCCCCGGGGCGCAGCCAGGCGGGGGCGGGGCCTCCAGGGTGCCGGGAGGAGGGAGCCTGCCCCCCACTCCAGGGGAGAGGGAGGGCTTCCAGGTGGAAGGCAGGTGAGGTGGATGGGGACACCCAGTACTGGGACACTTTGAGCCTGAGAAGGCGTAGGAAGGGACTGGGACCAGGAGGTGGGGTGAGGATAAGGAAGTGGGGAGAGGGGAAAGAGCCAAACCCATCACTTTGGAAAGTGGCTCAGATGGGGTGTCCCTGCGTCTTTCGTCTTTCGGGGTGGGGGGTGCGGTGGGGATGGGGTGGTGGTAGAGGCAGGGCTGAGTGGGATCCGCATGCCCCGTCTCCTTCCCAGCCTCAAGCTGGAATGTGAGAAGCTGGCCAGTGAGAAGACAGAAATGCAACGACATTATGTCATGGTGAGGGGCTCATTATTGCCAGGACTGGGCAGTGGGGAGGAGGACTCAGCTGTGAGTAAAAGCGCTAGGGGTGTGAAACCCTACTCACCCTGCCACTCTGGGCCTCATTTTCCCTATCTGTAAATTGGGCTGGTTGGGATTCCAGGCTGTCTTTATGAGGGCCCTCCCAACTCTTGCAAACAATGAGACAAGGATGTCCCCTCTCCCCATGGGCATCTTTGAGGGGCCATGGTCTCTGGGCACCTCCTCCTGCCCCCCTCCCTGCTTCCTCCTCTGGTTTTCCCCTCTGGGCTCCCCTGGGGCTGTGAGGCTCTGTGCCCTGCTGTGATTCCCCCAGCCTCGGGGCTCCTGGAAGACCCAGCATCCACTGGCCCAGTAGACGTTCCCAATTGGCTTTTCCTTTGCAGTACTATGAGATGTCCTACGGGCTCAACATTGAAATGCACAAGCAGGTAACTGTGTGTTGGGGGTCAGAGTGTCCACTAGGAAGGGTGAGGGTCTGGAGGCTGTGAGAGAGACCAGCACTCAAGCAGTCTGGAGCAAAGCAGACCCAGGGAGCAGGGGTCTCATCCCGAAATCTCTGGGACCAGGGGGCCAGATTGCAGCCTCACAACAGGAAAACAATTCTGTACTTCCAGAGACATGGTCCAGCAGAGAGGCAAGAAGTGGGCAGGAGCCAGGTGTCTCTGTCAAGGAGGGCTTGTCCCAGAGGTTGGCAGCCAGGACAGGAGGCAGTGGAGGCAACTCCTGTCCCTGGGAGGGGGCCGGCCAGACAGTCCTGGAGGTCCCTTTCAGCCCAGAGAGTCTGATGTTTGGAGATGGATCCTGATGGTCTGAGATGGACCTCAAGCTTCTGTTGATGCTTTGAAGGATGTGAGATGGGCCCTAATGCTCTGAGGTTCTGAGACTCTTGTCAGCTTCTGCGTGGGATTCAAGGTTCTAAGTTAGACCAGAAGGTTCTGAAATTGACTCCAGTTGTCAAGAGCAGCCCCGAGATGGGGCGCCCCAGTGGCTCAGTCGGTTAAGCATCTGACTCTTGATTCTCAGCTCAGGTCTTGATCTCAGGGTCATGAGTTCAACCCCACGTTGGGCTCCACGCTGGGCACAGAACCTCCTTAAAAGAAAAGATTAACCCCGAGAACCTGACACTGACCTCAAGGTTCTCTGATAGATAAGAGGGGCCCTGAAAGATTGTGAGATTGTGAGGTTGATGGACTCTTAGATTCTGTCCCTCAGAATATCAAAACAATGGGTGGAGCCTAAAACAAGGGGGGGGGGCTTCCTGGTGGGTGGGAAGAGGAGGGGGGTGGGCTGAGAGTGTGGGCGGCCTGGGTTTGCCTTTCTGGGTATGTGTGGGCTCTGCTGGCTCTGGTGTGGGCTGGAGGGGGCTGATCTGCCTGGAGTAGGGCGTGGTCCCGTGAGTGCATGAAATAGACCGTCTAACAGGGTGGCAGGCAGGTGCTAGGGCTCAGCCTCCACCCTCCCAGTGGGAACCCTATCTAGCACCCCTCTAACCCAGGTAGAAGCAGAGCATAGGCTGACCCCACACACAGCTGCATATGCCATACCTGCCCCCTTCCCCACGCCACTGCCCTCTGTTCGGCCTCTGTGGGGCACCCCTGGCCCAGACCCTGTCCCCAGTGAAACCTGCAAGTAAAACCACATTGTCTCCACTCCACTCCCCATTCTTCTGACACCAAACATGTGGGTTTCTGAACACCGACCGATTCTCCAACCCCGACACCAGCAAACGTTCTGCAGTTCAGCCTGATTCTGACACTGTCTTCCTGGAGTCAGTGCAGACCCCAGCTTCAGGGCTCAGCCCCACTGGACTACCCCTGTTTCAGATACCAAACAAAAGTCTGGGTCTCCGGCCCAAACTTCTGACCACCCAACTATATATAAATTGAGGGTTCCCATAATCCCCACCTCGGGTTTGATAATTTGCCCAAACAGTCCCCAAAACTCAGGAAAACTGTTGACTTACTAGGTTACCTCCTTATTAGAAAGGATGGAGCTCAGGAACAGCCAGACGGAAGAGGGGTGGAGGGGGAGCCCTGGGTGGGGGCGCAGAGCATCCGTGGCCTCCCTGGGTGCACCACCCTCCCAGCACCTCCATACTTTGACCCACCCAAAGCTCTCCACCAACTCTCTAAGGGGTTTTTATGGAGCTTTCATTGCATAGGCCTGATTGATTAAATCATCAAAATCATCGGCCATTGGTGATTAGCTCGACCTCCATCTCTCTAACAAATGCAGGTATGGCTGAAAGGGGCTTACTGAGAGCAGCAAAAGCCACCCCCTCCCATCCCTTACCCATCACTGAGAAATCCCAAGAGTTTTAGGGGCTCTGTGCCAGGAACTGGGGACAAAGAGCAAAATACTATTTCTTTTTATGAGCCCACCACCACAAAGCCCTTCCCCGGAGTGTGGTGCACTGGGGTCTCTGCCTGGCAGTGGTCCAGGTTGCAGAGGGGACCCAGAGAGAGCCTGTGCCCAGGAGAGACAGCCTGTGAGGGCCACTCCTTTGTTTATGATGACCCCCAAGCTTCTGAGTAGCCCATCTGAGTGGGGCGTCTGTGTGGCTGCTTCCTGGGAATCTGTTGATTGTGTCTGGTGGCTGGTGGATCCGTCCTCGCCTTCCGGCTCATGGCTGCCCTGGTCATCCGCTCAGCAGACCGCTTCCTCGGCAGCCCATCGGTCTGCCCCGAACCTCTGCCTCGCTGGCTGCAGCGTCCCCCGTTTGCACCTGCTGGTGACAGCCCCCTACCTCCCAGGCTTTGCCAAGGCTTATTACGTCTGAAGTTGAGGGTCTGGATGGAGGGTCCCCCCTCCAAGCTTCCTCCCCCTTGTTTCCTGCCAGGCCGAGATTGTGAAGCGCCTCAGTGGTATCTGTGCTCAGATTATCCCCTTCCTGACGCAGGAGGTGAGTGGGCCTGCTGGGGCAGAGGGGAGCTGGAGGGCTGGGGGAGGGGGGCCGGCTCAGTGTGGCGGGCACTGGTTCCGCTGGGTGGCCTGGGGGGTACCGGGCTGGAGCAGGGGCTTCAGGGATGGAAGGAGGGGGTGGCTGAGGGTGAGGAGTGGGGGCTCCACCAGGTTGCCTGGGTCCGAATCCTGGCCACGTGCCCTTGGCTGCTTGCCTTGTCTGTGCCTTTGTGGTGATGTTTAGACAAGCGGACACATGCCAGGGTGATACTGGGTGCTCAGTAAGCACCCAGTAAACGTTAGCTCTTCTGTGTGCTCAGTGAAATAAGCTAGTCACCAAAGGACAAATACTGTCCGTTCCTCTCCCAGGAGGTCCCTAGAGGAGACCCATCATCCACACAGACAGAGAGCAGAGGGTGGGAGCCAGGAGCTGAGGGAGGAGATGGGGAGTCAGTGTTTTGTGGGGACAAGGCCTCAGTTTGGGGAGATGGAAAGTTCTGGAGATGGATGATGGGGGTGGTTGCATGACAGTGTGAGTGTGCTTTATGCTGCTGAGCTGTGCACTTAGAAATGGTTATGATGGCAACTCTTACGTATCTGTAACCACAATAATAATTTTAAAAAAGTAGAACCAGGACAGATGACATAATAAAGCAGTATGAACACCTCTCTGAATCTTAAAAAAAAAAAAGTTAACTCTTATAAGAATTCTCCAAGTACCTGCCAGCCTCAGGACCTTGACATCAGCTGTCCCTGCTTCTGTCTGGAGCATTCTGTCCGTAAGAGACATGAGGGCAGGTTCCATTGCAGGGTGGATAAATGGGGGGCCCTAGTTGTGTTGGGGAACAAAACCAGGAGAGATGCTCATCTTGCATTGGACCCCACTGAATCTGAGATTTTCTGGAAGCTTGGGATGGAGGGATGTCCTGGCTGGACTGAGACTGTAGAGATCGTGTCTGAAGCCGAGGGTGAGGACAAGGTGGCTGTGGTGAGAAGGGCAACCTGGGAAGAAAGGAGGATGAAAAGACTAGGAAGTGAATAAAGACACACACATGTGCCCCAGCGACTCCATTCTAGGCCAGGAGTCAGCAAACTATAGCCGGAGGGCCAAATCCCACCCTCTGCCTGTTTTGTAAATAAAGTTTTATTGGTATGCCGTCATGCCCATTCATGTACGGATCTCTATGGTAGCATTCCTGATCAAAGGGCAGATAGAAAAGCTGCCACAGGGAACTTCAGGCCTGCAACTCTGAAAATATTCACTGTGTGACCCTTTACAGAGAACATTTACCAACCCTCGGCCTTGACACACTTACACACGCGTGTGCCACACACAGAGCTTCCCAGTAGCATCTGACACGTCCTCGGTGGGAATGCAGCCCAAATTCCCGAGCTCGGGAGTGTGGATAAACAGCCGCATATCGTCTGTTCCCACAGGAGCCACTGGCCACGTGTGGTCCCTTAAATATACATTCATCTATATTTCGATGTAAATATATTACATTAAGTTTCTACTGACATTTGTCCTAAATTAAATGAAACCTTTCGTTCTTCACTTGCACCGGCCACATTTCAAGTGCTCAGTGGCCACGTGTGGCCGGTGGCTTCCTTATCCAACAATGTGCGGAGAGGAGGTTTTCTCATTGCTTGAGGCAGAGAGAGGCAGGAAGAAGGACCATAGATGGGCAGAGACACTGAGGCTTCTCCAAGCTGCCAATTTCTACTTTTTGACCCGGGGGTGTTTAGCTGGGTGCTGATTTAGACCGTGGTTCTTTGCTGGGGGGGAAGGTGTCCCCAGGGCACGCTTGGCAATGTTTGGGACGTCTGTGGTCATCAGGCCTGGCGGTGCTCCTGGCATGGAGTGGGTGGGGGCCAGGGATGCCGCTCAGCCCCCCACAGCACCCAGGACGCCCCCCAGAGAATGACCCGCCCTGATGTCCACAGTGCCCAGGGAGATCCTGATCGATCAAACCCCGATTTATAATTACTAGTTTTCACTGCCCCGTATATGCTTTGTTTCTTTGTCTTTGTGTTTGCCTCACATTTAAAATGGAAAGGGAGAGAGAGAAGAGAAATAGCAAGTGCTGGGGACAAGGATGAGGGGGGAGGGGGAGCTGGGGCCTCAGAGGGCACTGCCTGGGCAGATGGGGACGGCCAGCAGACAGGGAGCCCGAGCACCCCCTTCCCCGTACCCCCATCTCCCAGCATCAACAGCAGGTGCTACAGGCCATGGAGCGGGCCAAGCAGGTGACCGTGGGGGAGCTGAACAGCCTCATCGGGGTGAGTCCCCCCTGCCGCTCCCCTGCCCTGGGGAGACCCCACCCCCAGGGCCCTGGCACCCAGTAGGTGCTAAAGCTGGCTGGGGGTGCCGGGTGGGCAGCTGGCCTGGGCTCTGGCCTCCCCGCAGACTCTGGGGTGCCCCCTCTGCCCAGAGCCTGTGCTGGCTCTGGGCGGCCTCGTGGGCCAGGGGCACCGCTGGGCTGCGGCCTGGCCCTGGCCCACCTCTCCTCTCTCCAGCAGCAGCAGCTCCAGCCGCTGTCCCACCATGCCCCCCCTGTGCCCCTCACCCCTCGCCCTGCTGGCTTGGTGGGCAGCGGTGCCACGGGGCTGCTGGCCCTGTCCGGAGCACTGGCCGCCCAGGCTCAGCTGGCTGCGGCCGCCAAGGAAGACCGGGCAGGTGGGGAGGCTGAGGGACCCAGAGGTGAGCGGGCAGCACAGGGTGGCACTGGCCAGGGGGACGGTGGGGAGGGGGAACTGGCAGGCCACCCTGTCCAGAGCACCAAATTCACTGAAGTGTGAGGGAGTGAATGATGGGGACTGCAGGGCCCTGGGGGTCAACTTTACTCCCCCACTGGCTGTGTGTTCTTGGGCGAGTTACTGCCCGTCTCTGGGCATCTATTTGAATGGTTCAGGGGAGGAACAACCCATTCCTTTGCAAGGGTGTTGGAAGGAGAAGGGAGGTTCTGAGCTGGGGACAGGGCTCTAGAAACTCTGGAGGGGTGCGCCCTCTGGCACCATGGGCTACGAAACCCTCATCTTTTCTTCTCTCTCCCTTTGCCTCACTCCCAACCTCCAGTGGAGAGAGCCCCGAGCAGGGTAAGTTGAAGGGCATCCAGGAACTTGTGTGATGTTTGCTTGCTATTCGCATGTGGCTGAAGCTGGTGGTTCTGAGCTGATAGGGTCCTCAGAACAAGACCCATATCTGGTTTTTCAGCTGGGTCGCCTGAAGCCTTTTGGTTGTGGGAGATGCCCATCAGGCTAGAGATTTGTCGAGAGTTTTCCAGCTTGAGCTTTTTTTTGGCGATTGAATAAATAAATGCATTCCACCCAGCCCTCCATTCATTAATGTATCCATCATCCATCCAAGAAATGCCCGTGTGTAATTTCTTTAAAAATTGTTTAGTTTGGGGACAATTATAAATGCACTGGAGGTTGCAAAGAAAAGTACAGGGAAGCCCCGGGCACCCTTATACCAGACTCCCCCAACGGTAAAGGGTTGTATAAAATAGAGTATCGAATGCAGGAAACTGCACACGGTGCAACCCCCGGAGGTGACTCAGCTTCCCTGCGTGCTACCGGCCGGCGCTGTTCTGGGTGTGCGCATGCGCATGCGCGTCTGTATGTTCGCACACGTTCAAGGCCAAGTGGACCAGTGGCAGCAGTTTATGTCCCCGCTCTGTGTCTTGCTCGTTTAACAGTATGTGTCGGAGACCATTTCTCCCTTTCTCACTGCGATAAACAATGCCCTGGTGGACATCTTCACAGGAACACCTTTGGGTCGGATAAGAGACTGTCCATAGCATACGCTCCTGTAAATGCCTCTTTTGAGGCAGAGATGACATTTTTGATAAACGTTGCCAGTTGCCGACTGGCCCTGTTTGTTTACTTGTTTAATACGAGACAATTCCTACAGAGAACGATCTCTGTAGATGGTTTTCCTGTAGAAAACGGACCGTGTTTGTTTCCTGGGGTTGCTAGAACAAATTAGTGCACCCTGCATGGCTTATAACAACACACATTTATTCTCTCCCGGTTCTGGAGTCTAGAAATCTGAAATGGAGGTGTGAGCGGGGCGGCTCCCTCCAGCGTTTCTGGGAAGGATGCTTCCTTGGCTCTTTCAGCTTCTAGTGGCGTCTGGCCATCCTTGGGGCTCCTTGGCTCGTGGCTGCATCACTCCGTCTCTACTTCCATCCTCACGTGGCTTCTCCCCTGTGTGTCTTGTGTGTCCCACCCTTTTTAAGTCCTATTGCACTAGGTCCCACCCCGATCCAGTATGCACTCAGTGAAACAAATTACTTCTGCAAAGACCCTATTTTCAGATAAGGTCCCATTCTGAGCTTCTGGCTGGACACGTAACTTTGAGGGACCCTGTTCGACCCAGTAAAGGGACCATGGCTCTCCTGGCTCTTGCCCTGAGCCACTGCCCACCCCCCATCCAAGTCCCCTTTCCTAAAATGACTCCTGTCGTCAGTTTGAGGCGCCTCCTTCCAAACTTCTCCCCGGTGTCTGGCATGCCCCCCCCCCCCCCCCGAGACAGATTCTACACAGGAGCTGCTCTGTGGTGGGAACGCACTTGATACGAGGAAAGAGTGGTGGTCAAATGAGAGATTCTACCCCCGGGGGGACACCAGGCCATGTGTGGGGACATCTGTGGCTGGCGGAGCACCTGACATCGAGGGGGTGGGGCCCGGGATGATGCTCAGCCCCCCAGCATTCCCGTGGTGGGCCCACAGTGCTGAGGGGAGAGACCCTGGTATATCACATGGGTTTCTGTATCTGCACACACATGGGCTGGTTACTCCAGAGAGAACAGTGAGCACTCACCGCGGCCCGGGCGCTGGCTTAGGCCAAGCGTCCCACGGCTCACTGGGTCTTCCCAGCAGCCATTGAGGTGGGTGCTGTTCCCATCCCCATTTTACAGATGAGAACACAGATGCAGACAGGTGCGGCGACTTGCCCAAGGTCTCAGAGAAATGCCAAGGCATCTGCCTCTCTCCCTGCTTGCTTTTTTACTTTGGTGATACATTGTGGCCATCTTTCCATGCTGTCACATCTCAACTTTCTTTCCTTTTTTTTTTTTTTTTGAAGATTTTATTTATTTATTTGACAGAGCATAAGCAGGGGGAACGGTAGAGGCAGAGGGAGAAGCAGGCTTCCCGCCGAGCAGGGAGCCCGACGCGGGGCTCGATCCCAGGACCCTGGGACCATGACCTGAGCCGAAGGCAGAGGTTCAACCATCTGAGCCACCCAGGCGCCCATCTTTCTTTTTTTTTAAGTAATCTCTACACCGAATGTGGGGCTCGAACTTAGCATCCTGAGGTCAGGAGTCGCAGGCTCTGCTGACTGAGCCGGCCAGGCGTCCCACCCCACCTCCCACTTTTTTTTTTTTAAAGATTTCTACTTTCTTTTTTAAATGGCTGCGTGGTTTTCGCTTCTGTGGTTGCGCTTTCTGCAGCATGCTTTCTTTCCCAGCTGCCCCATCGTCCCAACGGGACTTTGCTTCCTCCTTTGTGTGTTTGCATATAGCCAGGCAGCTCTCCAGGCTGGATTTCTTATCTGCCCATCACATTGGGCTTCGAGATAAAATCTCAGTTGAAGAATTGATCCCACAACAGAAGTGCTTGAGAAATCACTGCATGGGGCAGCCTCTCTGTACAGATGGGAGACTGAGTCCCAGGGAAGGAGCAAACTGTTTAAGGGCCCACAGGCAGGTTGATGCTGGGGGGCAGGGGGGTTCTTTGTGCCTGCTCACCCAGGCTTTGACCTTCAAAGGTCATATTGTTGGCATGTGTGGGCTGGTTTTGAGTCCTGTCTCGGCCCCTAATTCACTGTACAGCCCTGTCTTCCCTTAGGCTCAGTTTCCCTGTCTGTACAATGGGATTAACCATCATTTGCCCACAAGCTTGCTGTGAGGCCAAGGACTTAGCATCGAGTCTGCCCTTGGAAGGTCCCATTTCCCAGATGGGAAGCTTGAGGCATAGATCCTAATAACTGTGTTGGGGACCCTCAGTCTTAGCTGGGCCAGGATGGAGTCTGGGGCCCCAGGACCCTGACCCTTTGTCCCACCCGGCCTTGTCTCTCTGCAGAGCGCATCCCCCTCACCCCCTGAGAGTGTGGTGGAAGAGGAGCGACCGGGTGGCCTGGGGAGCAGTGGGAAGCAGCGAGCTGAGGACAAGGATCTGTCAGGACCTTATGTAAGTGGGGGGCAAGCAGAAGACTGGAGTGGGCCCCCAGCCGTGCTCCTCAGAGCCTTCCAGAGCCCAGCTCTGGCCATGACTCTCATTCTACAGCCTTCCGTAGCTCCCCATTGCCCAGGGAGCACTGAGCAACCAGAAGAGCCCCTATGGGGCCAGGCCCAGCTCTAGTTGCTCTGTCTCTGTAGCTTCTGGACCAGGCATCTGTTTTCCTACCTCCTGGCTATGGCTCAGCCATCTAGAATTTCCCCTTCTCCAGGGCCGGGACCCCCTCCCTCACTGGAGGAGCACTGTACCTGTAGTTTCTGCCTCTGGCACCCCAGGGGCCAGGCTGAAAGTGGGGGCTGGGACTGTGGCTGGTGGGGAAGCACCTGTCTCATCCACAGGAACGGCCTTAACCTGGTCCCAGCCTCCTGGCAGGCCCAGTATTGGCCAATCCTTCTGTTTCTCAGAGATGCCTTTAGTCTTCAACAATCATAACAGCTGTTCTATACGTGTCAGCAACTCATTTTGTTTTAAAGAAGAAAATTGGGGATGGGGGGGGGGTCAAAGAAATGCCTCCCTGCTGGGAAGATTTGGCCTTCAGGCTGCAGGCTTTGGTCTTCCCTTGCTTTTCAGCTAGACCAGAGGGCAGCCCCAGACAACATTGTTCCTCCCAAGGGTGATGGGGAGCCACAGAAGGAGGTAGAACAGATGTGGGGACAGGTGTTAAGAAAATCCCTCTGGGGCAAGCTTGGAGGACTACTTGGAGGGGGCAAGGCCGAAGTCCAGGAGGCTAAGGCGGGGATGAGGTCTCTGCTAGGCCATGGGGATGGGGGTGGGCAGATGGGTAGATGAGACGGACAATCCTGAGAGGTTGATTGACTCTGTGGAGTAAGAGCCAGGAGGGAGGTCTGGATGACTCCTGGTCTCTGGCTGTCCCCTCACTGCACAGAGCAGGAAACAGACCCAGGGAGGGCTGGGAGGCACTCAGGGCCCCACAGCAAGTCTTGGGTACTCAGCTCCATCCCCCTCATTTTCCTCCATGAGGGACCCACCCACCCTCCCAAATCCCCCTTTGCACCTGAGCAAATGGCAACCTTCTTTCTGAACCAAGCAAAGGGGCCTCTGGAGCCCCAGAATCCTGATCAGATTGGGGCTGGTGTATGCCCCACCTCCTGAGGATGAGTAAGGGGACGTGGAGGCAGGGGCATGGCCAGGGTAAGCTCTCTCCCCCGTGTCCCCCCAGGAGAGTGACGAAGACAAGAGCGATTACAACCTGGTGGTGGACGAGGTGAGTCGGGGTCCAGCCTCTGACTTCCGGGACTCAGAGGTCTGGGCACAGCGAGCGGTAGGTTTTCCAGAGTGTTGGGGGGCCCAGAGGGAAGGGGGGTCCTGGCCCCCTCTCTGTTGAAGGCTGGGATGAGGGTGGCATGGGAGTAGGGGAGAGGGGGACACCTCAAGCCGACCTCCTCTCTGTAGCGCAGGTGGGGAAACTGAGGCCCAGAGGACACGGGATGGGCAGCAGAAGTGGCTTCAGGCCCTGGCTCACTGTGCGACTGGGGGACTATGCTGCCTTCCCTGGTCTCACTTTTCCCCATCTGTTCAGTGGGGGACAACAAAAGCCCTTACATAGTAGTCGCTGTGTGTGCTTAAGGAGTGGGTACTGTCAGTCCCATTGTACAGATGAGTAAAGTAAGGCATGGCGGCAGGGGCGTCATAATCCTCCCAAGGTGGATCGTAGGTGCCCGGTTTGGAGTGTGGGATGGGGCTTGGGAGGGGTATAGAGAGAGGCTCTCCTTCTTCGCCCACTTCATCTCCACTTAACGTCACCTCCTCAAACCCAGGACCAACCCTCGGAGCCCCCCAGCCCAGCTACCACCCCGTGTGGAAAGGCACCCATCTGCGTCCCTGCCCGTCGGGACCTTGTGGACAGCCCGGCCTCCTTGGCCTCCAGCCTCGGCTCCCCGCTCCCCAGAGCCAAGGAGCTTGTCCTGGTAAGGAGTAGGGGAGGCCTTGAAACTCACTTTATTCATCCTGGGGACCTGGAAACAGGTGCAACCACATTAGGTGTGGAGTGGGGAGAAACCAGCCAGGCTCTGATTCTTTGCCACCTTCCTGAACACCGCCTCTACTCTACCCAAGCGTTTTTCCCAAGTGGACTGGCTCTGGGGAACCTAAATACATAAGAAAAGACCACTCACCATCTTGTGGAGAAGCCAAGCATCTCTTGCAAGAAATAGGAAGCCCCTTGGAGATGAACACAGTGAGCTGTAGGATGCAGGCTCTCGAGGCCGAGGCCGAGGCCGACTCCAGCCCCTCAAGTGTTAAAGCCTTTGAGAGGCACTGGGGATGCACCAGCCCCACCTGAGCTGTCATCCCTGTCCCCGAAAGGCAAGAGGATTACTATGGGAACAACTTTCTCAGTGCCGGGTGTAGGAACCCCCGAAGAGCTTCTCCCCCCTGGGCGTTCACAGTTGGGCTCCATTTGTCCCGACCCTCCCTCCCCAAACCTTCCCCAGACCCCTCCCCTGCACTTACCCAGAGAGTGCGTCGGTTTCCAGGCCTCCCCTCCCAGCAGGTTGCCATGGCGACCGCAGAGGCTGGGGCTCCCAAGGCATCTTCGGTGACCTCCTCCACTTCAGGAGACCAGAGGGGGAGGGGCAGCTCTGTTCTCCCAGAGAAGCGCCCCCAAGGCCTCCCTGTCCCACGTGGTCGCCTCCCACTCCCCCTCGTGGGCGTGCGCGTGTGGCGGGCACCGCGTGCTCTCCCTCCCCACGAGTTTCCCACTCCTCGGCCCCAAAGGACAGGACAGCCTCCCGACTTCCTGCGGCCTTCTCTTGCAAGCCCGCTCCCTGCAGGCGTGCTCCTGCTCAAGGCCAGTCTACACCGCACTCCTGACCGTGTATCGCATCGCGTGCCTTACTATACTCGCGCAGGGTCCTGCCCTGCTGTGCTCCCTCCTGCTCAGGCACCCGCCTGGCGCTCCCCGTGTGCAGACCCTCGCCTGTCCCCATGCTCAGGGGATCAGCGGCGGGGGGGGGGGGGGGGGGGGGGGGAGCACGCCACCCCCGAAGGCGCTGCTTGGCGTGCGGGCACCTCCCCCGAGCCCTGGCCTAGCATGGATGTACCTGCTCCCTTCTCCCACCTAGTTTCTCACCAGTTCGTGGGCTGCCAGGTGCCAGGTGCCAGGGGGTGATCAGTCCTGACCTTTCTCCCCAGAACGAGCTTCCCGCCAGCACTCCTGCCCCCAAGTCCTGCGACTCCTCCCCGCCCCAGGATGCGTCCACCCCCGGGCCCAGCTCAGCCGGTCACCTCCGCCAGCTTGCTGCCAAGCCAGCACCTTGCACGGACAGTGTTGGTGAGCGTCTGCTGGGGCCTGTCAGAACAGGTCTCTTGGAGGGGAGGGTTCTAGAAAATGGTAGGGAGTGGGGAAAGCAGGAGGTTTGAATCCAGGTCTGGCATGGCCTTGGCCTTTCCAGGACTCTGAGCCCAGTGCTGACTCACCCTGGGCTTCGGTCTCCTCGCTGTCTTGGCTTGACAGGTGGGGAAACTGAGGCCCAGAGGGGAAATGATTTACTCAAGAGCTTTAGCCTAGTGCACTCGGACAGGCACTAAAGCGGACAGGCTTTGGAGTCAGACAACCTTGGGGTTGAGGCCAGCCTTGGATACTCATCAGCTGTGTGACCTTGGGCAAGTGACTCAACCTTTCTGAGCTTCAGGTTCCCCATCATTAATGTGGGGATGACATGTTCTCCTTTTCTGTCTTATGGCCCCTGTGCTGGTCCTGGGGTCCCAAAAAGAAATCAGCCCTGGAACCTGCCCTCGAGGAGCTCCCAGATGGTGGGGAAGGAGACCCAGACCCCAAAACTCCTAGCCCTGTGTGATCGTGGCTAGGGTAGAGGGAGGGAACCAAAATGGGCAAGGTTAGAGGCTAGGGGTGTGGTGAGGAGGCTCAGGGATGTTCCTGAGATATTGCTGGACATTGGGTCTAGGTTTTGAAGGGTGAGTAGGAGTTCAGCGGCTGAGGAAGGAAAGGGAACCCATGTCAGCCAGAGGGAACTATTCTCAAACATCTGGAAACTTGAAAGGGTGTGGTGGATGCTGGCCCAGACCACAGCAGCCCCAATGACCAGCCAAGGCCGTGGAAGGCTGGATCTGGGTCCAAGGTGTCTGAAGACCTATCTTTGTCTCTTCTCACTCAGCCCTGAGGAGCCCCCTGACACTGTCCAGTCCCTTCACCACATCCTTCAGCCTGAGCTCCCACAGCGCCCTTAATGGGGACCTCTCTGTGCCCAGCTCCTACGTTAGCCTCCACCTGTCCCCCCAAGTCAGCGGCTCTGTAGTGTATGGACGGTCCCCCATGGTGAGTCCTCGGCGTGGGGGCACCAGCAGGGCACAGGGGCTGGGGGCCAGGAGGAGAAACCACTTACATAAGGAGAGACAAGGGAAAGGGTTGGGAACCCGGCTTGGCAAGTGCATGTGCCTGTCGGAAGGTGATCTGAGGGTCTCAGTAGCCCACAAGCGTAATGCAAATAAGCACCTATAACTGGAAGAAGCAACAGTAAGTATGTTGCATTGTAAGGGGCAGAGAGCCCCAGCCATGGGGCTGAGAGTCCCATTCAGCCTCCTGGCAGAGGGCGTCCAGTTGGTAGCCCTGAGTTTTAAGAGACTGCAATGATTGTAGTAGACTGCAGATGAAGGACTAGCCTGGGGAGAGGACTGGAAGTGAGGTCTCATGAGAAGGAGTTGAAGGAGTGGGGCATGAGACCCCTGAGCTGGGGCAGAGGCTGGGAGCAGACAGGGGCTGTGTGGGCCCCAGAGGGCAGTGCGGGGACAGATGGCTGATAGAGTGAGCCGCCCTGAAGTGGACCAGGGTGCCTCCAGAGGGAAGAAAATGCTGTCACTGGGGACATGCCAGACCCCAGGCGGGGTGGGCACTTGTGAGGGACGTTGTAGAAAAGAGGTCAGCAAATATTTTCTGCAGGAGCCCAGGCAGTAACTACTTTTGGCTTTGGACCAGTTGGACCTCTGCCTTCATAGCTCCAAGCCAGCATAGACAACATATAAATGAACCGGTGTGGCTGTGTACTAATAAAACTTTATTTACAAAAACGAGCAGGGGGCCATAGTTTGCCAACTCTCGCCCTAGAGCAGGTCAGAAAGACTCTTCAGGGTCCTTCCGACTCTGGGATTCTAGGATTCCCTGGGCAGAGGCTTTGGGGTCCCGCAAGTGAAAACCTCTGCTCTCCTAGCTGCAGTGTGGGTGGAGGACCAGGCATCTCCGGCCTCTTGGGGAGGGGCTGATGGACAGAGGGGGGATCCTCTGAGAAACAGAGAAATATGGCAGATGAGCCTGGGGGAAGGCACAGGTGGGCTTGAGTCACCTGCCCTGTGACACCCCCTCTGGCATTTTTGACAGATGGCATTCGAGTGTCATCCTCATCTCCGAGGGTCATCCATCTCCTCCTCCCTGCCCACTATCCCTGGCGGAAAGCCGTGAGTATTGGCTCGGGGCTCCCTGCCTCCTGTCAGGTGCTTACGTTGTGGGGTGGGGGCTGAGGTTCCCTGCTGCATTTCCAGAAGTTCTCCTTGAGGAGCTCTCTGGAGAGAGCGGTGTGTAACAAGCAAAATGTAGACCACTGTTTCTCAACGAGGGGGGAGGGGCATTTTGCCTTCCCCACCCCCACCCCAGGACATTTGGCATGTCTGGTGATATTTTTAGTTGTCACACCCACATGTGGCCCCCAGTGGGTGGGGGACAGGGATACTGCTGCACAGCCCACAGTGCATGGACCCAGAGATGGACCCAGCCTCAAGAACCCAGGAACTTTCTGCCGCGATGGGGAATGTTCTGGACCTACCGCTGTCCAGTGATTGCCATCGCCATCGGCCGCCTGTGGCTTTTGCCACTGAGGAACTGAAGTTGTAAATGTATTTAAATATAATCGGCCACATGTGGCTGGTGTTACTACTGGGTCCCATTCTCCGGAGCTCTCCCGGCGTGGCATCTCCCTGGATGGATCCTCTCCACTCAGCATTTACTCAGTGCTTGCTTACCAGGCACGGGGCGGGGCGCCGGGCTAGGGCCAGGACCCCCTCCTCTTCTGTACCACGCTGACTGCCGGGTCACCTGTGATCCGGGCTAGGGCCAGGACCCCCTCCTCTTCTGTACCACGCTGACTGCCGGGTCACCTGTGATCATGGGGTTCCTTCCCCAAACGCATGGGGGCACCGGGCCGGGGAAGGCACCTCCCTGCCCCGGGGGGGGGGCGCGGCGGTCCCCTCCCCGCGCGTCACGGCCCTCCTCCTGCTCCTCCGGCGCAGGGCCTACTCCTTCCACGTGTCTGCCGACGGGCAGATGCAGCCGGTGCCCTTCCCCTCGGACGCGCTCGTGGGCGCCGGCATCCCGCGGCACGCGCGGCAGCTGCACACGCTGGCGCACGGCGAGGTGGTCTGCGCCGTCACCATCAGCGGCTCCACGCAGCACGTGTACACGGGCGGCAAGGGCTGCGTGAAAGTGTGGGACGTGGGGCAGCCGGGCGCCAAGACGCCGGTGGCGCAGCTCGACTGCCTGGTGAGGGCGGGGCGGGGCTTGGAGGACGGCGGGGCGGGGCTTGTCCGGCGGGGGCGGGGCTTGTCCGGCGGGGGCGGGGCTCGCAGCCTCGGAGCCGGGAGCTGGCGCCGGGCGCGGGGAGGCCGGGTCCGGAGGGCGGGCCCTACACGCTTGCTTCTCTTCCGTCCCAGAACCGGGACAACTACATTCGTTCCTGCAAGCTGCTGCCCGACGGCCGGAGTCTAATCGTGGGCGGCGAGGCCAGCACCTTGTCCATCTGGGACCTGGCGGCGCCCACCCCGCGCATCAAGGCGGAGCTCACCTCCTCGGCCCCCGCCTGCTACGCTCTGGCCGTCAGCCCCGACGCCAAGGTCTGCTTTTCCTGCTGCAGCGACGGCAACATCGTGGTCTGGGACCTGCAGAACCAGACCATGGTCAGGTGGGCGGCCGCCGCCCCCTTGGCCCGTAGGCTGGGGGGGGCGGAGGAGGGGCGTGGGAGGGCCCCGCCCCACGACGGTCGCCGGGGCCCTTCTCCCCGCAGGCAGTTCCAGGGCCACACGGACGGTGCCAGCTGCATCGACATTTCCGACTACGGCACTCGGCTCTGGACCGGGGGCCTGGACAACACGGTGCGCTGCTGGGACCTGCGGGAGGGCCGCCAGCTGCAGCAGCACGACTTCAGCTCCCAGGTGCGGCACTGCGTCTGCTGGGAGGGCCCTAGAAGGTTCGGGCATCCGGAGACCCCTCCTCTCCACCCAAGGCACTCACTTCCATGGGCTGAGTGGGACCAAGTACCTGCTGTCTGCCCGTCGTTTTTGTCCTTCGGACGCATCCGCAGGCTTCCCCCTTAATTCTCCAGGGACAGATACAGGGAAGCATAAAGGAACTGATTCCTAGTAAGCTGTGGGCCTACTAAGACCCTCAGATCGCCTTTCCAGATGCTTGTGCGGAGCCACTCTCCCATTCCTTCGTTTCTCCTCCGGACCTTCAATCTCTTGACCCTACTGAGAGTTCCTGACCACCCCCTCGGACTCACCATGGGGGAGCCAGTGATCTGGGGGGACAGGTAGAGGTTGACATGGGAGTTGGACAGGGGTCTCTGTTGAGGGCATTGTGCGAGTCCAGACTGAAGGATGTAGTGAAGGGGCTGAACAGAACCAGAGGGCTCCTCAGGGCTGAGCAGCGTCACCTAGATCCTCTTTCCCTCTGCCTTGGGGGCAGGGTGTGAGCTCTCTGGCCTGACACTTAAGACCCCCACGCTCTATTCTCACACACACCATGCCCTGCCACACCTCTAGATGTGCCACACATCTCTCCACTGATGGTTCCCTCCAGCTGACATGCTTTTCCCTTCCTTTTGACAAATTGGTGAACTCCTACCTGCTCATCCTTCAAAACCCATCTCCATTTTGCCCCCTTCCTTGAAGCCTGTGGGTAGCTAACTCCCAAACTCTTTCTATTCTACCTTCTCTTTAGCTTAAAATTTCTTTGATAAGGAAGTCAGGGGTGCAGGTGGATATAGTTGTCTGTCCCTTGTCCCTGAAACTTAGATGGGTTGTTCTCTGGGGATCCCATGGTGAGTGTCTCCCATCCTGCTGGGCCTCCTGTCTGTATACAGGAACACTTCTGTATGGCCAAGGAGAGAACATGTAAAAAACCTCCCAGTCTTCTCTCTGCTCTCAATTTATGGTTCTTTCCACACGTGTCCTGGCAGTAAGACTTTGAGAAGTTTCGGGTGGAACTATGCCTCCCTCGGGCTGGGGCATGGCACGGTGAGGCCACCGAGCCCTTTCAGATCAAAGTCAGAGGAGGTGTTGGCAAGCGGGGAGAGCTCCAAGCTGGGAGTCCGAAGGCCCGATCCTTCACGGATCTGTGACCTTGAGCGAGCCGGGGTCTCAGCTTGCCTTCCACCATCTGCTCACGGGGGGGGGGTGACTGTCCTCACCCGGCTTCACGCTCTTCCCTCTTCCCTCCCTCCCAGAGCTGTTGTGCGTTCAGACGGGATAATGGATGTGAGGCCCCAGGGTTCCGTGTAATTCTGATTAATATTAATGATTCGACATGCAGTTGCCTGCTGTGTTCCAGGCCCTGGGCCAGCTGCCTCTTCGTGCGGGGCTGCCTCGGGGGAGAGCGCTGGGCCTCTCCTCTTCCCCCCGCCCCCCGGGCATCCTCCACCATCTGAAGGGGGTTCTGATCTCCCCTCTTCCCTCTGCACCCCCCAGATCTTCTCCCTGGGCCACTGCCCCAACCAGGACTGGCTGGCGGTCGGCATGGAGAGCAGCAACGTGGAGGTGCTACATGTCCGCAAGCCCGAGAAGTACCAGCTGCACCTTCACGAGAGCTGTGTGCTCGCCCTCAAATTCGCCTCCTGCGGTGGGTCTTCGGGCTGGGCAGGGCTCCAGGGCGCTGGGATGGGGCTGCCAAAACACAGCACACCACAAACAACCCACACGACAAAACACGGGATGCCCGGTGGAATTTGAATCTTAGCAGATCCTTTGTTAGTGTAAGTTTTTCCCAAGTATTGCATTGGGACATACTTACACTAAAAGCCACTCGTTTGTTCATGCAAATATATCCTAACTAGTGCATGAGATATACTTACACTTAAAAAAAAAAAGACCCAAACGATTTTTAGTATAAGTATGTCCCGAGTATTGCACGGGACACCCATATACTAAAAATTAATAATAAATCATGAAACACTCATGGTGCATCTGTACTAAAAGTGATTTATGGTTTTTCTGAGATTCGAAGGTAACCGGACATCCCAGATTTTATCTGGCAGCCCTTTCCTGGGGACTCCCCCTTCTCGAAGTCCAGATGGAGCCCCCTCGGGCCCAGTGTTTCCCTTGTGAGAGCAGAGGTGCCAGGAAGGGAGAGGCCAGCACCCCCCCATCTTCAGTTCCTCCCTCCTAGAACTCCCCCACCCCCCCTTCCCCAGGGCGCTGGTTTGTGAGCACTGGGAAAGACAACCTGCTCAACGCCTGGAGGACACCGTATGGAGCCAGCATTTTCCAGGTACCGCAGGGCAGGGCAGGGCAGGACGCCGTGCGAACAGGGGCCCCAGGGTGGCTGCACTGGTGGGTAAACCGTGGAACTTCCCCAGGGACCTCCAAGTGCCCCCCCCCCCCACCCCAGCCAGCAAGCTACTAAAGCAGGGTCTGCACACTGTGGCCCTAAGGCCGTACCTGCCTGCAGCCTGGGTTCTTCGTGTGTGTGTGTGTGTATTTAATTTTTTAAAAACATATAAAACTTACCATCTTAGCCATTTTTAAGTATACTGTTCAGCGGCATGAGGCACACTCACCCTGTCCTGAGACCACCCCCACCCTCTGTCTCCAGAACTTTCCATCTCCCCACATGGAGACTCTGTCCCCATGAAGCACGGACTCCCCACCCCCTGCCCCAGCCCTGGCTCCCACCCTCTCCTCTGTCTCTGTGGATGGGACTCCTCTGGGGACCTCCTGGGAGTGGGGTCCTGCGGGATGTGTCCTTTGGGGTCTGGCTCCTCTCACTGAGCCCGGTGTCCTGGGGGTCCCTCCGCATCGTGGCAGGTGTCGGGGTCCCTTCCTTCCTAAGGCTGGATCATATCCTCTAGTATAGATGGGCTGCATTGTGCTTACCCATCTACCTGTTGATGGAAACGTGGGTTGCTTCCACGTTTTGGCCGTTGTGAATCCTGCTGCTGTGGGCACGTGTTCATCTCTCTCGGGCAGATGTCTTGGAGTGGAATTGCTGATAACTGTGTAACCTTGGGACAAACTACCAGACTGTTTTTCCAATTCTCCACCCCACCAGCAGCGCACGCGGGTTCAAAATTCTCCCCATCCTCACCGACACTTCTTACTGTGTCCTTTTTGGTCATAGCCATCCTAATGGGTATGGGGGGATGTCTACATTTTTTAAGGGCAGGAAAACAAAAGGAGAATCATGTGACATAGATTTATTTGGCTTCTGGACTTGTTGGCTCGAGACTTATCCGGGCCTTTGGCAAAGCCAGAGAACTCGCTGGGCCCTTTACAGGAAAGATTTGCTGCTGTAGGTCGTTGTGCAGTAGCCTTAGCTAGCCCTCCGCTGTGCTGTGCGGCCTCATGCCTATCGCACACTCTCTCTGAGCTGCCTACGAAAGGGCAGGGCTTCAGTTCCGTCCCTCTTGGTGTCAGGAGCACAGAGGTCCTGCCCTTCCCAGGAGCACTGTCACTGTCCAGAGGCTCGATTCCAGCAGACCTCCCTCTGGAAAAATGTGTCACCCTCCTTCCCCCATCATCTGCCCCCCGACTGGGAGAGTCCTGGCCCCCCACTGCGGGCTCCCCAATCCCGAGTCCTGTCTCAGCCCCAGCCTTGACCACAGGCTCATCCTTTGGGGCAGGCACTCCCCAGTTGCCCTGCCTCTTCCCTCTGAACGTTGTGCAAGGCCCCGTCTCACCTCCCCCTTTTTTCCCTCCCCCCATCCCTGTCCATAGTCCAAGGAATCATCCTCCGTGCTGAGCTGTGACATCTCCGGAAATAATAAGTACATTGTGACAGGCTCAGGGGACAAGAAGGCCACCGTGTACGAGGTGGTCTACTGAGACCCCCCATCTTCCTGCACCCTTGGCCCGGCTCCTAGGGGAGGGGCATCCCGGACAGAGACCCCGACACCCCCCTCTCCATTCATACCTGTGAGTGCTAAGTCTCGTCTGCCCTCTGGCTGACTCCCTCCCATCTTCCCTTGCTGGACATGGGGCTGGACGGGCAGGTGGACTTCGGGGAAATAAATGTATTTATCGCAACTGCCTTTCTGTACTGGGCTGGAGAACCAGGACTGTTGCTTTTCTTGGGCACCGTTCCTGCGGGAGGGCTGTGTAGCTGCGGGTATGTGGCTTTCCTTTTCTCAGCCTCCTGTGCCTTTTCTGGACAATGAAGGAGTTCGTCCTGCATGAACTAGTGCCGGGTCGGCTGCGGGCGGCAGGGGTGGTACCGGGGAGCACGGCTTAAGTGACCCACGTCACCAGCCGCCCGCGGACCTCAGTGACTGAACAACAGGCACTGATCGCTCACCTGTGTGCCCCTGGCTGGTGGGGCTCGGCTCCCGGTAGACACTCGGGGCTCCAGGATGGTGGAGTTTCTGCCATCACAACATGTAGCTTCGGGGTCCAACGTCGCAGGGGTGACGAAGTCACACAGGCCTTTGGTGCTCTGGCCCCAGAGCTGCCTGGGTCTCTTTTACCGCCAGCCCTTTGGACAGAATCATCCCAAGACGCTGCCCACGTACAATGGCTTGGGGAATACAGTGGCGCACATAGCTCTTTGGGGTGCTTGCCTTTGACCCACGGATAATTCCTGAGAGCCTGGTGCACGAGGACGCATTGCCCACCCTAAGGTGCTGAGCAAACACCACAGTCCCAGAGGAGGGGACGGTAAACTGAGAGCTGACAAGGAGAAACAGCCATTTCGTGGGGGTGTGATGCAAGACTGTGTGGGTACAGAGGGAACAGCATGTGCAAAGGCTTGGAGGTGAGGAGCGAGGCCAGGTGGAAACCAGGCGGGCAGGGTACTCCTCCTCTGCTCCTCCTCAGCTCCAGGGAGAACAAGGCCTCCAGCCCAGACTGAAGCAGAGAGAGCCTACGGAAGGTGGGCCAGCCCGGGGGCGGGGCCAGGCAGGGGCGGGGCCAGCCTGGGGGCGGGGTGGGTGTGGAGCAAACCGGGGGCAGGGTGGGAGGGGAGTCAGCCTGGGGGTGGGGGGCCAGCCTGGGGCGGGGCCGTATAATCAGGTCGACGTTCTGGAAGCTCCCGTGGGCAGCTGTGGAGGGGCTGGGGGTGAAGCCGGGGTGCTGCTGGGAATCTCCTGGACGGAGATGGCCGGGCCCCTCGGGGAAAACAAGTCAGACCCAGCTGGAGTCTTGGAGGCACTTTTTGGGGCGAGGATAATTCTTTGGGTAAGGAAAGCAGACAGGCCGGCACCTTCTGGGACGCTTATCCTGGAGGGACAGGGTGAGCAAAGCTGTCGTGAGAGCCCCCAGGCACGAAGAGGGTGGATGAGAAGCCAGCCAAGGGGCGATTGCTGTCGACTACCCTCTCCCCGCCCGGCACTGCTCACACCGGGACCCATCACTCTCTGTGGGGGCGTCCTGGGCAGTGGAGGGCCGAGTGGCCTCCCTGGCCCCCACTCGCTTGATGCCAGGCATACCCCCCCAAAGTCATGTCCACTAATGTCCCCTGGGGGCTGGGTTCATCCTCAGGTGAGATGCACCAGGGTGTCTTGGGAAGGGTGGGGGAACCCATCCCTGGATGGGAAACCCCTCTCTGGGAGATGAGGGAACAGGAGGAAGGGGTCCATATCCACCCCCACTCCCAATAGGGGGTCAGTGGCTTTGAGGAGATTCTCAGTGCTTGTGGACTCGAGGCTGGGAGACCCAGCTGGTCAAAGTCCTTCCAAACTTCTACAAGACAGGCGGGGGACAGAAGAGGACAGATCCACTCTGCTTTTTTCCAATTGCTTTACTACATGTGCAATGGGAAGGAAACCCGGCCCACCCACCACACCCCTCCACCACAAAGCCTCCACCTTGAGGAAAAGAACAAAAAAAAAAAAACAAAAACAAAAAATGATCCTGAGTCAGGAGGACCATGCCAAGCCCCTCAGTAGGTGATCTGGTACACCGAGGCGTGGTCCTTGGACCCGGTGATGATCAGGCGGTTGTTGGGGGACACATCACAGCACAGGATGGAGGAGGTCTCAGGTACCTGGGAAGGTGGAAGGCCAGTATAAGCTGAGGGGGCTCACCCACCCCTACCCTCTGCCCGTCAGTTCAAGCCTGGTCCCTCTCAGGACCCCTGCACTCAGCACCCGGAGCCGAGCGCTGCCCCCCCGCCCCGCCCCGTGCCTGGCCCACAGTGGTACCTGGAACACCATGGTCCCCGCGGGCATGCCGTAGATGCTGACCAGGTCGTCCATCCCAACGCTCACCCACCACTGGCCTGGGATGGGGAGGAGACTGGGTGGTGGGAAATCTGGCAGCTGAGGGCAGGGCCCCTGGGGACCTGGGGCACAGAGGTAGCCCCCCACCTCCCTTATACCCCCATGGACAGCATCACTGAGAGTTTCTGCTGATGAAGGGTGATGGGGGGGGTGGTCAGGAAGGGTGGGACAGGACCCTGTGGAAGGCTGGGGGCCACAGGGGACTCCCCCGCCCCCTCTTGGCCACTCACCGAGTGGAGAGAACTTGAGACCCAGGATGGTGCTGTCCTTACACCCCACCATGTGCTTCTGGCCCCCTCGGGTGGGCTGCAGCCACTGTTGCCCATTGGCTGTGCCCACCAGAACCCAATCCTCCTGGGGACTGGGGGACAGACTCATTATCTGGGGAGTGGGCAGCAGGGAAGAGGCCGGTCAGGTCCCAGCCGGGCCTGAGAGGTGGTCAGGGGCACAGGGACCCACCCTGGGGGCTGACCTCCTTCCAGCTTCCTGGCTTCGAGGCCCTGACAAGCAACCTCACACCTCTGGACCTCAGTCTGCTCATCTGTAAAGTGGGTTGGTCCTCTTTACCTTAAGGGACTAAATGGGGCATGGGCACCCGATACAGAGTATGCAAGTGTCCAATGTTATCGGGGCCCGGTGGGGTGGGGGGAGAGGACATTTCTCATGACCCTATTCCTGCCAGCACCGATCAGACGTGGGGTCCTACTACCGCCTTCCCCCCCCGCCCCGCAACATCCACCTCCTTCTCTAGCCCAAGGCCCATCCCAGGCCACACACCTGAGACTCGAATTGGTATTCCAGGGGCTCCCCGGGGGTCCTCAGATCCCAGCACCGCAGGCAGGTGTCTAGCCCCCCCGTCCAGATGTTCTGGTCTTTGATAGCAATGCTCTTGGCTCCATTCGGGGGGCCCTGCAGGTCCCTGACCAGAAGGGGTGTGTGGAAGGGGTCAGGGCTGAGACTCTGAGCCCAAGCCCCAGGAATACCACCTACGCAATCACACCCAGGTGACAGATGGGGAAACTGAGGCTGACAACAAGTACCATGACTGGGCTTTGAAGAAACCCAGTCAGAATCTGAACTCAGGCCCCCAACACTCTCAAATGCAAATTTAAGCAGTCAAGGGGCTTTTAGCCTTGGGACTGCTGGATCCCTGCTCAGGGCCTGCGGTGGGAAGGGGCTTTCAGGATGAGCCCACCCAGCCCTAGGCCTCACCTGACAATGCTCCGGTCCCGCAGGTCCCAGATCCTGACTGTGCCGTCCGTGAAGCCAGCGAAGGCCAGGGTGTCCTCGGGGCCGAAGGCCAGGGCCTGGCAGGTGAGGCCTGCACAGGGCAGCTCGTTGCTCACACGCAGGGAGGGCGCGGTCAGGTCCCACACGCTCACGCTGGCCAGGTTGTGGCCGCCCGTCAGCAGGGTCGTGCTGGTCGGGGCCAGCAGGCAGGTGCGCAGGTAGGCCTGGCGGGTCTGGGGCGGGCGTGGATGCAGCTGAATGTCCTCTGCTGCGGGAGCTCTGCTCCCAAGAGCCCCGCCCCCAGGGCCAGCCCCTCCCCGACCTGTACCCGCAGGTGGCTCTCAGGATACTGGTCCTCTAGCCCCTGGCCCACCAGGCTCCACACTTTGACGCCGCCCCGGCCGCAGGTGAACGCATGTCGCGTGAAGCTGCTGACGGCCGTGGCCAGCACTGGCTCCCCATGCCTTAGCGTCCGCATCTTCTCCGCTCCGTGTGGGATGGCCGCCTTCTTGGATTGCCCCGGCAAGGCGTCTGGTCTCTTGCACGTGTCCTCGAAGTCCTCAGGGTCCCAGCATCTTGGGAGGGGAGGCCTCGGGGTCACCGGCCTACCTGGGAGCCTCTCTGCCCACAGGGGGCCCCCCTCAAGCCTGAGGAGCTTCATTCTTCTTCAGATGTGGGAGTTCTCGCTCAGGCCTGGTTTCCCTACTACACGGGCTTCCCCCCAGGGGCTGCCCACGTCCTTTCCAGTATTCTCCCTCTCCTAGAACCAAACATCACTCCCCTCCACCTGGAATGCTTTGTCCCATCCTAGCAAACTCCTACTCATCCATCAAAATCCTAACCATTATGCCCCTTCCGTCCAGGAAAGCCTTCTCGTCCCCCTCTGGGCTCCCCCAGCCTCCGACCACAAGCCTGTATCTAGCTCTAACACCTTTCCATGGGAGTTCTTTCCCCAAATCCCTGGAACCTAGAGCTAGTTATGTGGGGAGGGACAGTGATGCTAGCCTGATGGTAACTACCCAGTCCCCTCAGCTCTGGGTATCGAGCACAGTAGCAGGGTGGTGGGGGAGGGGAAGACACACCCGCACCTCCAGTCCCTTCTCTGACAGGGACAGAAGTACAGACAAGAGGGACAACATAGAGACTTACATGGGCTTCAGGAATGGATAGGCTCTCCCAGCAGGTTCCTGCGGTAGGACCAAGATCACGCAGAGCCATGTCAGCTCCCTCTGCCCCGGCCCTCTCAGCCTTCATGGAGGCTGACACTGAGGATGGGGCCTCACCTGGGCCACACGGGGGGAGAGCATCCCCTCTGCGTCCGGGCCTGGCTCTGCGCTCCCTTCTCGGGAGCCCTCGGGGGAGCTGGGGGAGGGCGCAGGTGGGCTGGGCACTGGTTGGAGAAGAGACAGATGAGTGGCAGGTGTGGGCTCCTGGGAGCAGGCTCCCTGCCCCCCCGCCCCCTCACCAGGATTACCCAAAGTGTTTTCGCTTGGTTCCAGTCCCAAGTCGTGTGGTCCTGGGTCCTGGCTCTCCTGCCCACAGGAATCGGGGCGATCAGGTCAGACCAAAGGACCTGCCCAGGGTCGGTCTTAGACCCAGAAAACCTTGGGGAGGCCCAGGCAGTGTAGACAAACTCGTCAACAGCCCCAAGTCCCCAGGCCTGAGTCCTCTAAGGGAAGCCGGGGTGGAAGCCGTGGACTGACCCCACAGGAAGCCGGACAACCCGACCCGAGGGCCCCCCCCTCCAGGTGCCGCAGAGTGACTCACCAGGCCTGGCGCCTGCTCTGTCGCTGATACAACAGACGGGGAGCCAGTAGAACAACAGGATTCAACGGTTCGCCAGACACAGCCCCAGGCCGCCCCCATCCCCCACCTGCAGGCAGACTCACTCCTGCGTCGCAGCTGGTCCTTCTTGTGGGTCCCCGCAAAGATCTGCCAGAGTTGCTCCGTCAGAACATCCTGCCAAAACCGGGGCTCGGAGTCCCAGGGGGGCTGCGTGTCCAGCTGGGAGACGGGGGCGGCGTCGGCTCCGGAGGGCTGCCGGAGCCAGTCTGAGGACCTCGCAGCCAGGACGTCTTCGAAGGGTGGCCCCTGGAGCCCGGAGGGCTGTGGGGTCTTGGCCACTGGGTGCGGGGAAGCCTCCGGGCTGATCGGCCCCCAGGAGTCCGGGTCGGCCTGCTCCCCAGAGGTGCCCAGGCTCGCCTGTATTGCAAAGCCCAGGGGTGTGAGGGGCAGCTCTGAGCTGGTCCCCTCCCCCCTCCAGGGCCCAGGCACCCACCTCCCCAGGCTGGAAGCCCAGCGGTCGGCTCCAGGTCTCCATGGTCCGCAGGAAGTTCTCTGCCTAGACGGGGAGGGCGGGCGGTGGGGAGAGGACACATCCCAGCTCAGCCTTTGTCATCCGACAGCCTGGGTGCAGACCTCCTCCTGCAAGCCGGGTTCCCAGTGTGTGAAATGGGGATACACAGCCTGCTTTGAAGGTTTTGGGGTGGATTCGTGATAATGCAGAGCCCCCCCCCCCCCACTACACAGAGCGTAAAGCAAGTTCTTCGTACCCAGAACTCCACAGCCCAACCCTGAAGGCTGATCATCAGCATCAAGTGGTAGAAAGCAGGGTCCAATCTGGGTTCCCCTCCCAGTTGCTTTTCTTAGGAGGTTTGAAAACTAAAGCCACAAGGCACCTGGGGGGCTCAGTTGGTTAAGCATCTGCCTTCGGCTCAGGTCATGATCTCAGGGTCCTGGGATCGAGCCCCATATCTGGCTCCCTGCTTAGTGGGGAGTCTGCTTCTCCCTCTTTCTGTCCCTCCCCTCTGCTTGTGTTCTCTCTCAAATAAATAAAATCTTTAAAAAAATTAAAATAAGGAAGAAAGAAAACTAAAGCCTCAACACCACTCTGCTTAAAACGGCCTCAAGAAGCAAATTCGTGGGTAGCTACGTTCCTGTGTGGGGACACCTGAATTTGCTTAAGTGTTGGGAGGATGCTCAGAAACCAGTGATCACCTCTTAGGGAGGAGGGCGGGCAGCAGGACAATAGGGGACCCCCGTGGGAGGGTCACGGTCCTTTGTTATACTTAAAAACCACGCCACGTGACTATTCCAAATCGAAGTGAACAGTTTCTACGGGCCTGGAAGGGCCTGAGAGATCTAAGTTCCCTTCTTCCACCTGACCAACAGGCATCTGCCTGTCCTTTTAGGAGACATACTCCGTCCTCGAGACCAACAACCAGCCACAGACGGCTATTAAATATAAAGCGAAGTCCAGTGAAAAATGCGATTTCTCCAGTGCCACTCAGGTGCTCAACAGCCACGTCGGGCCAGTGGCCGCCAACGTGGATGTCACAGGCGCCAAGAACAGGGGTCCCTAGCGCGGGCCCGGCGTCCAGGCTGAGGGCAGACCCGGTGAGATGGGAGCCTCCTGGCCAGTGTCCCCAGAAATTCAGAATGGAGAGACCCAGCTTCTGGGGCTGATGGGGAGCTCCACGGGAACATGCATGCGTGCAGCTCTATTTAGTGACAGCAGGAATGTTCTAGGCCTGCCTGTCTAATGCAGTAGCTGCTGGCTTCACGTGGCTGCTGAGCACTTGAAATGTGGCTCGTGCCACTTGTTTTAAGGTGGCACACGTGTCCCGTGGCCACCAGAGAAGACAGCCCGGGTCTGGTCTTTGGTCTGCGCGCCCCAAGCAGCGCCCTTGGGCCTCATCGATGCACGCCCCTCCGTGGTGGACCCCAAGAAGCTCCCCAGAGTGCTCTGGCCCAAGGCAAACTCCCCAATCCTGGGAAAACATCCTGATTCACAAAGAAAGAAGGAATAAAGCAATGCAGCGTCCGTGCCAACTGTGGCCAGTCCTAGCTCCCAGGAGCTCCTGGCATTCCCATTTTGCAGATGGGAAAACAGAGGCCCAGAGAAGCAAAGCCAATTTCCCCAAGTCAGGAGGAACAGGGGCCAGGCAGTGTTTACCTGCTTCCATTGGCAGGCAGGCAGGCAGAATGGCGAGGGAGGGGCCGGGCAGCGGGGACCCCCTCTCTGAGCCCACACCTCCTGCGGCAGCCGCCGGTGATGGGTTTCCCAGCTGGGCCTCCCAGCAGCACAGACCCAGGGGAGCCTTCCCCAATTCGCCCGGCTCGTTAATGCGCAATTTACTGGCACTTGAATGCACTCAGCATGAAAAGCGCTGCTCCCTCCTGCCTGCTAGCTGGCCCTCCCTGGGGAGAGCGCAGCGTGGGCTGGGCGGCGGCCGCGGGGGGATTTTCAATGCACAGCAGGGAGGCTGGGAAAACCGGGAGCCCAGAGGGAGGGGAGAGGACGGAGGGGAGAGGACGGAGGGGAGAGGACGGAGGGGAGTCTCGGCGGGACTCCAGGGCCAGCAAGGCCCATGGGTTGAACAGCAACTCTCTTGGGCAAGACCCCCCTCACATCCTTATGTTGGGATCACCCCTGAATCCACAATCTGATCAGTTCTCCCCACCACACCTCACCCAGATGGTCCTGTTCTCCTGCTCTGCGCCCAGAGCCTCTCCTCCAGAGGGCGCCCATGAGCACGACTCAGGTTCCCCCTCCCTCTGCCCACAGCCCTCCAGGGCTCCCACTTCAGCCCAAGTCCTCTCCAGGGCCCCCAAGATGCCACAGGACCTGCCCTGTCCCCTCCTTGCCCTCCCCACCTCACTGCTCCAACCACAGGGGTCTCCTCTCTGTCCCTCCAACACACCAGGCACTGTCTTGCCCCAGGACCTTTGCATGGGCTGTACCCTCTGTTCCTCCCATCCCAGACAGCTGCACTCCCTCTCTGATCTCCTTCAAGAGTTTGCCCAAATGTCACCTTCTCAGCAAGCCTTGCCACTCCCACCCTTTCCCGCGTGTCCCCTCGGGCTGCTCTAATCCATCCCTGCACCTTGCCCAGCCCTCACCATCGGACACTTCTGTTTACCAAGCTCCCGTCACCCCGAGGGCAGAGGTTTGTCTGTGTCCTTCTTTGCAATTTCCCTGGCGCCTACAAGAGCATGGGCAAGAAGGTGATGGATAAATATCTGTTGAATGAATAACCGTGTTCTGGCTGCTTCCTGGCCCCCCTCACTCTGGATCCGTCTCTCCCGGTCCCCCGCACTGCCCACCCCGGGGCCCTGCTGAGTTGCAGACACGGCCCTGGCCTTCTGCCACTCACATCTGGTACAGGCAGAGAATCCTGCCAGCACCCAGGAGAAAGGGGCCAGGTGGCGGGAGGACAGGCGGGAGTGGAAGACGTGCTTCAGCTTGGGCAAGGCGCCCTGTGCTGGGAGCCTGGGCCCCTGTGCAGACCTGCCCCCCCCGCCCCCGCTCACGTGTGATCCAGGCCCCCGAGAACGCTCAGACACATGGAAGGCCGGAACCCGGGTGCGCCTGGCACATAACAGGCCCTTCATAGCGGAAGCAACTGACCTGCAACGTGCTGGAAAGGCCCCTGGCCTCCTGTGAGCCACGCAGGGACCGGGAGCGGGCCAGGAAGGACGAGCCTCCAAGAGGGTGGGAGACACACCCGGAAGGTGTGTGTGTTTGTGTGTGTGTGTTTGGGGGGGGGCCGGATCCACTGATCCCTGGGAAATCCCAGGTCAGGTCCTGCCCCCCTCTGCCCACAGCCCTCCAGAGCTCCCACCTCCTTCGGATAAAAGCCCTCCCCACCCATCCCCACGGGGCCCCACCACCTGGCCCTGTCATGGCCTCTCTCCCTATATTTTACTGCCTTTCAAGGAGGGGCAGCCATACCCCAGCTCCTGGTTACTCACTCACCTGCTTGTGATGCTCATGGAGACCCTGCCGGATCTTCTGGAGCTGCAAGAGAACAGCAGGGATCACACTGGGAGGTGGTGGGAGGTGGCCGACAGAGGTGGACAAGAGTGAGGAGTCGAGTGCTGTGCAAGCTTCTCCCCAACTGTGTGGCCCCAGACAAGCTGCTCGACCTCTCTGGTCACTACACTCATCAAAGGTGATACCACCTACCATACAGAGTGGAAGCTAATTAGGGAGGCCCTTGGATTTCATTCTCGATGTGGAGTTCAAAGACTCCCCATAACCACTGCACACCCGCCCCCATCCCTTCCCTCCTCTCCTCCCTCTGCTACAACCACAGGGCCTCCTCACTCATTCCTCCAACACACCAAGCCCAGTCCTGCCCCAGGGCCTTTGCACAGGCTGTGCACTCTGCCCGGAATGCCCTTCCTTGCTCTCTCAGGGAAGGTAGAACCTCCGTATCTTCCCTATCTCCCCATGAACATCACTTCTTCCAAGAAGCTTTTCCTGACTATCTTAGAGCAAAATCTTTACTCATGTCCACCCCACCATCGTCTGTCTTCTTTATAATGTCTACATTTTGTGAATCCCGTTTCTCTACTTACTCGTCTCTCTCTTCCCCCTAGGGGTGCCCTGTCCATGGAGCTAGCCGCTAGTCAGGTGTGGCTATTTAAATTTAATTAAGTTACAAATTCAGTTCCTCACAAGTTCTCAATAGCCACATGTGGCCGGCGGGTGCCATATTGGGCAATGTTGCTATAGAACATTCCCATCACTGCAGAAAGTTCTAGAAGACAGCACCACATAGCACCTACGCTCCTCACAAGCAGGGACTCCTGTTACCCATCCCTCAACGATGAGCTGTCAGCCACAGAAACGCTTCCTGTAAGTACGGAATTTCTAACTTTTGCAGCAAGGTTAGTACTCATGAGGAAGAACGCTCTTGAAGAAGCCGGCCTGCACGGGTGACCTCGCTCGCCCAAAGGAAGCAGAAACAAGTGGAGGAGAAGGTGTCCCCAAACCCGGCTCCCGAGGCCAAAGGCAACAGCCCCTCCAGGCTGTCTGGGGGCTGCCCAGGGCCGCCCGGTGTGGCTCACCGCCGAGCACACGCTCTCCACCTGCGCCGTCAGGTGAGCGGGGAACCTGAGGGGAAGGAAAGCGCACAGAGCCCTCAAGACCCCTCCCCGGAACCAGCCCCGCCCCCGCCTGGCCAGGGCCCCCCCACCCCAAGGAGCCACCCAAGGCGGCGTCAGAGATGCCATTTTAGTGCAGTGTTTTTAAACATATAATCAATGCAAGTAAATTCACACTAAAACAAGGACAACTCGAAAATTTAAAATGAAGGCCAGGATTGGTACCAGTGGTTTTCGTTTTGCTTCGGGCTCCCTCATTCCTAGTTCTGTCTTCTGGGCCAGGGGTTTCTGGGCCCCCCAAGAGACCAGAGGGGACGCTCTCCCTCCCTCTGTGGGCCACAGCGGGACCTCCAGCCCCTGAGAGTCGCCCTCACCTGGGGAACTCTTGCCGGAGCTGATCCAGGACACCGCGATAGTTCAGTTCAGAAGGAGCCTGGGAAGGTCACGGGAGACTGTAGACAACCCCAGCCTCCCGTTCTCCCACCCTCAGGCCTTATCTCCAATCAGCCCCCCCGGGGGTGGGC